GTTCAGAGTTCCATGGATTGTTTTCTGGAATGAAACTATTAGATACAGATGCTAAATATGATGGATCAGGTAATGTGATAATGAAGTTTTGGGATGTGGAAATATTCACTAATTTGGGCATGTTTGTTTTGGTAACTGTAATATGTAATATTATTTGAGATTTTGTAAAAAGTAAACTGAATTGCCTACTTTTTGTTAGATTTTTTCGACAAGAATAGGGTGTAAAAGACATAGAAGAGTTAGAGTTATTAGTTTTAAAGAAGGAAAGTTTGTTTTCAGTTCTGTGTTTTTTTTAGGTCTTTTATTTAGAAGAACTTAAGATATAACTAGTTTAAATTAAGTGTTTAGTTAAGCTGGAGCCTTATAGAGATTCATCTGTAAAGGTAGCAGTACTAAGTCAGTATTAAAGAAAGTTTTAAAGTCTTGTAGTTTAGTAGTTAAGGTTATTTGTCTTTTGGCTATGTTGGATAAGTCTTAGATGTTCTGAGAGTTTATTTTCTCTCTTTTTAAATATCTTTTGTTCTATTTTAATTAATATATTCAATATTTTAGTACTAATTTTGTTTACTTTTTTGTTTTTTTAGTGATCTATAATAAGAGTTTTTTGTTTCTTTACTTTGATCTAGTTATATATTATTGCAATCTATAAAATATGGTATTAATACATTTTTGTAAAATGAAGAAATTTAAATACATATTGCAATTCTCTAAACTTTTTTATTAAAAATTATATTTTAAAGAAAATATAAATTCTAAAAAACAAGAATGTGGTAACCTAGTGAAGTGGTCAGGTTGTCAATTCTTTAAGTAGTAGATTGAGTATTTAAATTCTATCGATGGTAAAAATTTAGATAATCATCTATATAATATTTATATTATAACAACTGTTACTAATAATTAAGTTAGAATACCTGTAATGATAGTCATACCAGTATGACTAGCAGATTATAGGACATTTAAGTAATAGTTACATAACTTTGTTCTTTGAAACAAGGTCTATGATTATATGAAGAAATGCAAACTGTTAATTGGGTAGTATAAACACTAAATAAGTTCTTGTAGTTATGTAAATCTGTTAAAATTGAATAACAAGAAGTTTATTTGAAAACACCTAAATAGAAAGATAGCTGGATCTTTAACAGTTCTATTATAAAGGCTAGCCTAAGAAAATAAATACCAAGATCATAGTATTTGGTTATAGTAGCCAAACAGGCAAGAAACTTTAGATTAGAAGTCTCAGAGGTACTATCAATCAGATTACTAAAATAAACTAGAGGAAAAGAATATCAGGCTGATTTGATATACTAATAAACCGATTGTAGTCCTATATAGGTTATCTGGATTAAAAGTTTAGTAAAAAGACAAATGAAAAGACAAGACTATACTAAAGTACTAGAATTATGCTATGAAGTATATGTTGAAGTCTAAGTAAACTTTACAAGAGTATAACAGTTTAATGGTTAAGGCCTGATTGCAAGTGTTGATTTTGTTATAACAATATCTAAGTCAATTATACAGAAGGCTTTGGAAGATTTACTTTAAAAATAAAATAGTTCTAAAGTTGAGATGATGATTTGAGTATTAGGTATAACTTAGTGAAATTAACAGGTTTGTAAGTTCAGAAAGTTTAAAGTAAAATACCCAAGCAGAAGTGTTAGATATGACAATTAGTGAAGAACCTTCAAGCAAACTTCTTAAATAGGTAATCTAAAAAAGTTATATATGTAGCTAATTGTATACTCTTCTTATAATAGTTTACTGAATCATATTTACCATTATTAAATAAAGTCAAAAGACTCAAGAGATCATCTTAATATCAAAAAAAATAAATAAATAAATTCTAAAAAACAACTTTTATAATATTAGATTCAAATCTTTTAAACTAATATATAAATATCTAAAAAGTAACTAAAATATTTATAATATCTTAATAAAAGAGCAACATCTGCACTTTTAGTTGTAAATATAATAGAAATATTAAAAAAAAAAAAGAATAAAAAAATAGTTAATACTTGTAATAACATTAAAATCTATGATGTTTATAAAAACAATAATAATAAAAATCTAGATTTTTTCTTTCTTTTTTTATAATACCAAATCATAACTTATATTTTATTTAGTTTTTTTGCATTACTATTATATATAATTATATTACATTTGTGTTATTAGATTACTTTTTTTTCTAGATACCCAACATAACATTATACTTACAATTTTCTATATATTCTATTTTTATAACCTTTACTATATATTTCAATTATTATTACTAAACTATCAGAAAGACTATAAATTACCTTATTATATTTCTAATTTTCTCTATTTTTCTTACCTAGCAGCCCTTCTGTCTACTATTTGCAATAACTTATTCTTTTTCCAAATTGGTTGATTTTGACTCTTCTTATTACCAGTTTGATATACATAACCTAATTTACTTCTTAGTACCCTGTGATATAACTAAATTTATTGAAATCTGGATTATTAATCTGCAGTTTACTATATACCTTTTTTGAATATACTTTTATAGTAATTTAGTCTGCAGCTTGATTGCATATACTTTCTGCAAACTTTTTTGTAAGTGTACTGCTAACTATATACTAATATGCTACTAGCTTGATATTGCAAGAAGGCCTAAAATTTTAACTTATTACATACAAATATGATGCTTATTATTTAAGTTATAATATATGATTACTTAGGAAATACTATTTAAGTTACTTTTTAGAAATACCTATCTAAGATGTTTCAATTTTGGTTAGACCAATTCTTTGCTGCAGATCTTCTTTATATGTACTGCATTGCTTATCACTTCAGTTTGCTTATATAATATAACTCTTCTAATCAAGTACTCTATAAGTTAAATACAGAGATGTTAATGCTTTTTGTCTTCTAGGAACTTACATGCACAATACTATTGTTAGCCAAACCTTTCATAATATTACTGTTACACATAGTACTTTCATTTTGCAGAGTCAGTCTTCTTTTAGGAATTTCTAATTTGTCCTTGTACTTCAACTTGAAACTTTTTACAAGACTCTGCATTCAATTTGACTTCTTATAAGTTACAGAATTAAAATTTTAAGATTTTGTCTTCAGTTTAACTTAAACTATTAACCTTGTCTGTGGAGGATTAGCAACTTTACCATTAAGCTATAAGGCCCAATTTCTTAAAAATTTAGTTTAAAATATATATTACTAGTCTCTAAATTAAAAAATTAAAAATAATAATAAGACTTTAATTTAAGATATAAGTTTATTGCAAATTCTAAACTATTATTAAAAGAATTAATAATAAGCAAACCAAAGATAAGAGATTATAAGAATAATTAACTTGAAAATATTTCAATTTAAAATTATTACAAATAATATAATAAGAGATATAAAAAACTAGTATTAGCTTAATATAGTAAAATTGAAATGTATTAGAGTTGATATAGGCAGCAAAATCTAAACTTTCTTACTAAGTAAAATAATATTATTTAAAATGTTAGAAACTCTAAAAAAAGTATTAAAAATCAGGTAATTTTTTTAGAAAAGAGGAAGTAAAAAAAGTTGAAATTATATATAAAGAACCTGATTATTTATATATTAAAAAAAGAAAGAAAAAGTAGATCTTCAATAAAAATAATTAGGTAATTAATGACACAGCCCTAACTGTAAATGTTAACCTAACATTATAATGTATAAGATGTGCAACCGAATGATAAATATTGTTAAAAGTAGCTATAAAAAGTTAACAATATGTGTTGAATTTATATAATCTAAATTAGATAATAAAATAACTTTGTAAAATATATAAAAATCTACCTCTACACTAAGATTAAATAAAATCTAACAATTACTACCAAGTTCAAAAAAAAAAATTATAAAAAATATAAAATATATAAAAAACTAATACTAAATTTGATTAGTTAATGTAATATATATTTTTATAAAATTTTAAAAAATAAAGAAAAAAAAAATACATTAAATAAGAAATTAAATTGGTCTAATTTAAAAAACTTTAATTCTTATCTAAAAATTTTTCTGTAATTGACAAATTATCAAAAAAACATACTACCTAAACTAATTGTTACTAATTTTTTTAATAAATTCAAGACAATAAAACCTCTTTGTGAGAAGATATAGGCGTGGAAAAAACTTTTGTTTAGTACTGTAAAACACTAATAAAAATTAAAAAAATTCAATATGTCAAATGGCGGCTATTCGATATTCCATGCAAAAATTCAACTGTTTGGTCAAATGTTTGCCAATCGATGGTGTTGAATGGCTATCGAATGGTACTATACGACATGCTAATTTTTATATTAAAAATAAAATAAATATTTCTAGCTGATAAAGATTTGATATATTAACACCTGATTCTGCATTTATTAGATAGTATATACAACCCACTCCCGTTATAATGAAACTCTCGATGCTATAGTGAAGATTGATTTTTTCAGCCTGACGACTTCACTATAATGAGAGTTGTATCATTAAATATATTAGAATATTTAGTTCAGTGAAACAACTATATATTCGAATATTCATTTGATCAAACCTTTACCTAAACTCTGAAATTCGAAATTTTTCAAGATAAAACGGTAATATCTGGACATTTTCGATATCATTTAAATATGTACCTTATAGAAATATAAATAAAATCGGTCAGAAATAAATTGATTTCTCGAATTGGTTTTTATTATGAATAGTAGTTATCAGAGTATCTTGTAACTTTATTGAAAATATATCTAATTCATGTGTTGCAAATAAAAGAAAGCGAATCAGCGACTAGTTTTTTCATAATGTTGATATAATGCAGCGTTGCAACACTCATTTGAAATTTATCTAAATCACAAAAATATTGGAAATATTCACACACACCATCTACCATGAAGCAAGAATTCTCATTGAATAATAAATTTACATAATTAGTAGAAGAATCACAAGGCTCTTATGACATTATTATATATACTAAATACATTAAAATGATTGTGAAAACTGATAAAAATGAATGAAGGCTACCAATCTTCCGCCTCTTTTTTCTTTCTCGTGCTTTATACCGCAAAAACAAATTTAGTTATGTAAGCATTTATCTTTGATATATATACTACGAACGCAAGAAAAAGACTACAAATAATATAAGCGATACAAACCTCCGTCTTGATTTTGAAGGCCGAGGACCAGCAGACGGTACATAAATATCATCGTCGTTATTCCTATTGTTGAAAAAATAGCGTTTAATGTATATTATATAACGTAAATAATTTATAATATTTTATTTACTTTCTCCGAGCTCTTCGTTTCTTGGGTTGTGGAGGTGCTGGATCAACATCAGGTTCATCAGCACTTAAGATACCTTCCATATCATTGTTGCTAGCTCCGCCTGATGATGGACCTTCACCACCATCTGCAGTTTCCACGGGGTCCGGTATGTTTGCAACAGTATCCTTTAAAAAATCGAATTGCTCGGTTGTCATTATCGTTTTTTTTCTGTTACAATAAGTATAGTATTAGACCGGAATTTAATAAGTTTGATAATAAGAAATTTAATGCGATCCGAATTAAAGTTTGAAGTGATTTAGAGAGCCAATCAAATTACTTACAAATGAGAAACAGACATTCGTTTTGCATTTCTTGCTCTTGTTTCTTGACATGCATGGTCAATCAGAGACTGCATAAACAACTCTAAAGCTTTTGCTATCATATTTTGAAAAGAAAGTTTTAATCAATATCTTATGATTGGAATAGATACACTTGTCAAAATTGTAAATATAAATATAAAAGACGATTCAAATATCTATAAAAATACTTACAAATCAATACTGGTGTGGCTTGCGCAACCTTGCCTACATCCTCATCCATTTGCATGATCTTTTTGATGCGAGCCTTTAAATTTAAGTACAATCAAATGAAATTCAATGTCATAATAAAACAAATTAATTGCAATTAACGAAAAACCTACCACTGGAAATTTGGTTTTATACTTCTTTCTCATCATGTGGCCAAATTGATCGATGAAAATGATAGACTTTTGTTATTTGTGAAGAAGCTACTATAGCAACTATATGGCTCAACGTCTTATTGATCGTAATTTTTCTCAAGCAAAATATTAAGTAAAATTATGTCCTTGTTGCGTAAAGCGCCTTAAAACGAACTTTTTTTATAACTTTCGGTTTGTTTGTTTTTGTTAGTTGCATGAATGACATTCATCGTTATGGAATAGTAAATCATGTGATAACTACTAAGCTCCCAGGTTCAGTGAATACTTCGAATCGCATTTTATTCCCCATAGATGCTTTAATCATGTGATAATAAGCCAATCAGAATTCATTATCCGGCTTCCTGAAAAAAAAAAATTTTTATATAAATCATTTAAATTTAATTCTATTGATTCCTCCTCTGCCTCATTTTTATTGCATAAAAAAATGTATGTGGATTTTTATAGAACAATAAATTCGTATCTAAATATGTTTCGTTAAGTGTACAGAAACGACTATTTTATTACATAAAAAAAAAAAGAACCATGACGATTCATTCTATCCAATTGATAGTGTTTACATCTTTCTTTAGAAAATTAGTAGACAATGGCCGTAAAAAAATCAAAAAAATCAGCCGAATCTATTAATTCTCGTTTACAGCTTGTCATGAAAAGTGGAAAATACACTTTAGGGTATAAATCTACACTTAAAACTTTACGCCAAGGCAAAGGTTCGTGATTAAGATGTCACTTCAAAGTCGCATTGATATAATTTACACAAATATAAAAAGGGGCAGGAGCCAAATTGATTTGTTGTGTGTTCTTGGCAAAGATAATCCCTTTTTATTTTGTTATAGTACTGACCCAAAGTTTATTATTGGATTACATTAGCAAAACTTGTTATCATCTCTGGTAATTGTCCGCCTTTGAGAAAGCATGAATTAGAATATTATGCAATGCTTTCAAAAACTTCAGTACATCATTACGCTGGCAGTAAGTACCTAATCCTTCCAAAAATGTGTTAATCCCTTCATTAATAATTATATTTTCTTGAATTCAATAGATAACATTGACCTTGGTACTGCTTGTGGTAAATATTTCCGTGTTGGAGTTTTAAGCATCACAGATGCAGGTAACTTATCATACGACTCTATCTACTGGCTATATATACTTTTTGGTATTAGTATGTAATAACAAATTACATCTTTTATAGGTGACTCTGATATTCTTTCTAGTTCTTCCACTTAGAGTAAAACCACAATTTTTAGTTAGTTTTATACTATATGATTTTACTGTTTTATTTATTCGAGAATACAAATATGTTATAAATGGTAAAAATCATCAAAAATAAAGTGGAGAGGCACATTCTATCAATGTATAAGCATTTCTGTTTTCAGTTACCATAAAAGTACCATAGCAACTTCGACGAAATACATTATAATTTCAACTTTTTCTTGATGTTACCATCCTCATCTTCGCTCTCATTTTCTCTCTCATCTTCGTTTCCATCTTCATCTTCACCTTCGTTCTTGTTTTCGTCCTCACTTTCGTCTTCGTCTTTGTCTAACGGCATAAAACATGTCCCGAGTGGTGGTTGTCCTTCCATCCTCTTGAAAGCGTATTTGTACACCTTATATCCACTTTTTCCTATACTTTCCCACCATTTCTCAACTGTGTAAAGTCCGTCATACCTATACCTAATAATCGCAAAATGTAATATACAATGATTTGGACCAGATTTTCAGTTCAATAAATTATATTGATATTTACAAATCTTACCCTTCTTCCGGTGCATATTCATTGTCTAAACGGAAACCCCTATTCGAATTGTATATATAATATTATTTACCAAGTCATAGAAAATATAACGATAATGTACACACACCGAATTACACGAATAGGTCTCTTTGTTTCACAAGAAATCTTTAGAGCAAGATTGCCTGCGACTAATTCTTGATCCTTCGACTACAAACATTAAAAACAAATGCAATAATAACGGTTTGAATTCATCGCATTCAAAAATCGGGTTATTAACATACTTGTGGTGCAGTTCTTAAATTCTTTGGATTACTCTTGGTGCCTTTTAGGTCTCTACCACCAGAACCGGTGTAAGTGAAAGCTTCTCCTATTTTGCAAATATGATAAATGTGTCCAAAAATTGAAGAAATAAGCGTCTTTACATCGTTCTGATCTGTATACATACCCCAATCGACATCATCTTCATATCCCTGTAATATCAGCCAAAATAATAACAATATCAATAACGATAATACGTAATTGTTCCAATCACGAATATTGAAGTATTATAAACTTAACCCCTGATAAGGCGATACTCGTTGCACCTTCACCTTCATTCCACGCTATTCCCGCGACCGTCGGTCTAATTTTAAAATCAATTCACCCAGACGTATAGAATCATAACAAATTGTATACTTTGGTATAAATTTACTTACGCATGAACTCCAGAATGGCAACACGCCATTCTTGTTGGCCACCAACTTCCGACCTCATATCCTGGAAGGTTGCCGAATTGATGAGGATCCGGCCGGTTTTGGCGCCAATTTGGGTCACTTTCGTAAACAGCAACTTTTCGCACAGTAGCTTTTCGCCGATTTTCACCTTCGATTCCCACAAAAAGCATATCTTCGCTTAAATTTTTTGGTGGCTATTTATAGGTTATATATTACATTGTCTACTTATTAATAAAATAGACTACCTCACATTGCAATGTTGATGTTTGAGTACTATACCTTTTCAGAGAGACGTCCTGACCTTCTCAATCCGCCATTAAAGTCACTACTGGATGTAGTATTGTTTTGGTTCTCACTAAAGCGACGTGATACTTTTCTTTTGTTGCTTGTGGCTTTTTTTCTTTTGGCTATAAAAATTGGCGGAGGCCTTTCGAGACCAAGTTCACGCAGAACTTTCTTGTTAGCTTCAATGTTTGATGTTCTTTGTGCTTCATACTCGTTAACAGGCATTTTTCTGGAACTGTTGAAATGAAAAAAGCAAAAATGGCATCACAGTAAAATACAAAAATAGTGTTAAATATTTCCTAAACGCGTAACGCGTGTTTGAATCACGAAAAATAATTACCAGTCACACGATTATACGCGTAAATTTTTTAGGATAGGGACGTGATTTTCTGCGATAATTCTGCTGTAAAAAATAATCACCGCAGAATTAGGGTCGAGGCAGGAACAAGGAAAAATTCATTTCGATTTAGTCAAAAAATCTTTTTTTATAGCGATATGAAAATTTATTTATCCCGACTAACTCGCCCATATTTCATATTTTTTGGGGAACCGGTTTTAATAATTCGAGTTTATCATGTGATATTTTAGATTTAATTGGACAAATCTCTAAAATTTACGTGATAAATCCGAATTATTAAAACCAGTATTTCTGATTAGTAGATTAGTGATGACGAAAAAGCAAAACCGAAATGTGTGACAGGTTATGCCGAATATATTGATTTGGATCGTCAATCAACTTGACGCACCTCTGATTGGCTGGTACTTTTTATTAAATACTATTAGAAAATAAGTACTATGTACATATGAATAAAATAATGCTCTAACCGTTGTAAATTGTAAATTCGCATATTTAAATTTGTGCATTGTTTCTTTTTAAGGCCGTTCGAAGTTAATTCTTCAGTTAACATCACTTTCAGAAATTTTGGAAGAGGGAAGGGAGGAGGAGACAAAATGAAACGAACATATAAAAATGGTGTGATTTTATTGGTTGATGTAAATCAAGTGATCAGTGAAAGCTATCCAGTGTTTTGATTGGTTGTTCATTTTACAGGGGAAGGCTTCAGCTGAGAAGGGGGGATGATGTTAACCAAAGAATTAACTTCGAATGGCCTAATGGAAAGTCGTGTATTATGATGCACTTAAGAGAGAAAAGGTGTATTTACTTACAAATTTAGCAAAATAAATTAATATTTGATTTACTATCAAAAAAATTCAAATAAAAAAAAAACTTTTGAAATCTATAGGTTTGAAAATTAAACATGTAAATAATACATGTATCATAGTATTTAAAAAAAATTCAAGAAATGTAGAAATAAATATAACATGTATAATTAATAAAAAATAAAAAACATACTTTGTAATTATCATAACAATTTATAATACAATAATTTTGTTGAAATTTAATATTCAATCATATATCACTTTATAGTTAATATATGCATAATGAATAAAACTAACTTTCAATTTGGTTGATTCATCATTATATGCTTGCTTAAATTATGATCCTTTTTATCTATTTTTTTTTTCTTTCAGAAAGAAATAGAATAAGGATCAGAATTTTCTTTTTCTTTACTAGCATTAGGTAATTTTTGCTTTCCACTATCAGGTCTTTCTGGCTTTTGTCTTTTAATAGATTCCACTTGAACATGAATTATAAAACTACTTTTAACATGGGTTGCTTGATCTGAATTGCAATTAAAGTTATAAAAAAATGAAACAAGTCAAGAAATAGATTTCAATTTTGCTTGACGATATCATTCTGCGAATTTGTTGAATGCAACACATAAGTGAGAGCCAGAATTTTCATAATCTGCTTTAATTTCATTTAAAAATATAAAAAAGATATTATCATCGATATTATTTTTTTTATCTGATTCTCTAAAAAAAATAACACAATATTTAATTTAGTACACTAGTAAATTATCATAAAACATTCAAGTAATGAGAATTCTAGAATAAGACCTCTGTTCAGTAGCTTCATCGAAATCATTATTAGAAGCATTGCTTGCTGTTATGAATTTTTGATCTTGCAAGAAGAGCCCAGATCGTAATAAAGCATAAAATGAAAGATCCTCAGAAAAATAGCCTAAAAAAAAAAAAAGTATAATATGTAAAATTTGCTTCAATAATGTTATACATATTCTGCAATGCAAGAAAATTCTATGTATTATATAATTAGCAAAATACTTAATAATTAGAATTATAGAATTATCTCTAATGCTAAATATATTATTTAAATTGACAAATTTTTGATTGATAAATCAAACATAAACTACGTAGAACTATGCAGGTTACAAATTTATATACATAAATCATATAGTTACATTATATCACTTACCAAGTGCGATATATGAGTATATTATATGATCCTCAGATGTTAATGAAGGTATAAAATTAAACATAGCAATATGATATTTAATCGCAATAGAACCCTGATGTTTGCATGGTGCATCAGAAGTTCCAGTTGGGCAAGTGCATGCTCTGATCCCACTATTTACGACATAATAAAGATTATCCTGTCTTGTGCTTTTCACCAAGAATTTGTTTTCTACATTTGTTCTTTTAATAAAATTTAAATCCATCATTTCCCAACCAGAACATAGGAAATGTTTTGCAATGCGATAGTGACCAGAATGTTTATGAGTAACTCAAAGGAGCCGTCGCTTATAAAACCTCTCCATACTTGATGTTATAAACTGAAACACCTATATAATATTATACACTTGCATTCTTGCAAAAATAATATCTTTTAAGATACCAAAACTTCGTTCTATATAATTATTTGTATTGTTTCTATGTATGAGTAAACTAATACGAAATGATAGAGCCCAAAAACAACATCACTTCCACAAATGTTCAAAGTGCTTTTGTAAAAATGAATAATTATAAAATTCTTGTTTGAATTCCTCATAATGCTTATTTATTTTAGAGCCAGATAACACGTAATGAATTTTTTTTATCTTATTCATTATAAGCACTCAGTCTTCCTTTTTAATTTGATGCTTCAAATTGTGCAACCATCTTCAGAATGCTTATAAAACGTGAAATGTAAACAAAAGACAGATATCTGTAATAAGTTCCAATTAAATAAATTATTAATTTAAATTATAAGAAACATACCTAATATAATGCGAATAAAAATGAAATAAATGTATTTAAGCATATAATAATTTAACAATTCTAAGAATCAATTAAATTTATTAATTAAAGTAAAATCCAAAAATAACAGATTTAGAAAATAAATAAGCATTTAACAAAGTAAACTTTTCTCTTATCAATAAACTTATTAAATTACAAATAGTCTAATATAATACTCTTGCAATTTAATTCTGAACATTAGTATAAAACAAAGATAATTAGTTAATTAAAAAACAAAAGGCAAAATACCTCATGGCCAACAAAGTTCCAAAGCATTACATTCCATATTTGAATTATCAGTGAGAAAAACAATTGGCCCTACTTCTGGCCCACGCCCGAAAAAAGCATATGGCAGAAGTATTGTTTTTAATAAGTCTATTGCCTTTTCTAACATACTCTCTAATTTATCAGAGGTAATAAATAAACCTAGAGGGAGGGCCTCAACTGCACAACTGATATAGAAAATAGTGATCGAAGTGTTTAAAGGATCAAATGATGCTGATGCATCCATATAACAAATTTCACTAGCCTAAAGAACCTTTTCATGCACACATGCCATCAAATTGGTTACTATATATAAAATAAATGCATTTCCAGAACTTGCATTATATTTTTGTAAAGCAGCTTTACCCTGTTCTAATAATATAATTAATTATACAGTACATATATTTAAAGTAATTTTTTAAAAAAATAAGAATAAAAAATAAAATAAAAAAATAAATAAATTAAATTAAAAATTATAACCTGATCTATTATAATCTTCCACTATTAATTCTAATCACTTAAATATTGACTTTTTATTATGGCCACCAAGTATAGCATTGCGATATTGTTGAAAAATATGATAAACAGAATCATAATTTGAATTAGTTGCTAAGTCCACGAGTAATTTCACTAATTCTTGTTCATCTTTAGCACCAAAGTAGAGATTATTTTTAAGTGCATATAACGCTGAGAAGGGTGAGTAACCATCTTTGAAAAGATCTAACAATTTGTTACGAACTTCTTCTTTGATTGGTCGAAAACTCAGGAATTTGGCTGTGTTGATAACATGATGGTGTGTGAACTTAATATTTACTTCCAATAGGTGGCTCAATATAAGGTGCCGGTGCACCAACCGCAACTAAATAGTTGCAGGGCAAAGATGTTTTGAGTCCAAGATAACTAAAAACGCTTCGTTTCATGATTTCCTTGTTTTTTTTTACTTCATTGCTATGGATGCAATGTCTTTGTTCATAAAAAATGACTCGGTTTCCTTTAATCTCAAAACTCTTTGTTTGAGGCATAGTTGTCTTTGACCAGAACTGATACTCCATAAACCACTCACGTGCATCTTCTTCACTATCAACATTCATGAATGCATCTAGTTTAAAATTTACAACTTCAAAATCTTTTAGTGTTCAATGTGGTGGTAAATTGGTTAAATTTTGTATTTAATAAGTGTAATGTTGAGGAAGAACAGATTTTAAAATTCCTGATAAGTTATTTCACAAAAATATCTAAAATAATAAAAAAGAAAATAACTATTAGCTAATTAGTAATCATGAAATTATTGATAATTAAAAAAGAAAACAATCGTTTAGAAATTCTTATAATGTCATAAAAGTCTATTTATTAAATAGACTTTTATGACATTATAAGAATTCCCAAGCTATCATTTTTCTAGACCAGTTCTCAATTAACGCTATAAGTATGAAGTTATTGATAAATCGATAAATCGATTATTGTTATAAATTAATTATTCAAAATTACTACAAAGAAAATGAGATGCAAATAAAATAAATCGCTGTTCTTTTTTATTAAGGTCTCAAAATTTAAATTAATAATTTTTGCACAAACTATTTTATGCAAAAAAAAAGGCCTCAAAAAGCTTTATTTAAAGGAATTTTAATAAATTTAAATTTAATAATTTTATAAGCTAATAATTACTAATTTACGTGAAAAAAAAGTGAGAATTTGCTTCTAATAAAGTTTACTGCAGTTGTAAATTAAGGTTCTTCCTAATAATTAATTTATCAAAAAACTGGGTTTTTACCTTTGGGTTATTTTTTGCACTTTTTATAATTATATGTATGTGTAACTTTTAA